AAAATGCGCTCCGATGAGGCATTAGAATGAGGTAAGGAGAAAACATACTCGCAAATTTTTTCCAAGCATGAGGATTTATAGTTATTACGAAAAATTTCCACCCATTTCTCCTCTGCTTTTAGACCATCTAACTTTAAATATTCTGGCGAATCATAAAAAATGGAAAAAATTACAATCTCTTTAAACAAGGCTTCAATGTCTATCGGTAATTTTAATATATTTATTAAATTACAAAAACCATCAAATGATGGTTTCTGTTCCAAGGTCATAATATTTACACACTTGTAAATAGAGTTATTAAAATCAAATCTTGATTGTAAATATTCCAAAATTGTCTTAATAAAAATATTTGCTTCATTTAAAAATACGTTAATTATAGTAATATTTGAACATTTTAATATGATATTTTTAGCAATAGCGCCATAAAATTTATTATCTATTTTTAACTGTAGAGATGAACAGAGCTGTAGCATGATTTTGTGAATCTTTATCAATAAAGAATCTTCTGATTGCAACTGAATATTAACTACATGAAGTAGATTTCCTACATGTGAAACTAATCCCAAATCTGCTTCTGACATTTCATCCTCGAAAAAAATTTTCAAAATTTTATGACAGCTTTTAAAATCTTTATTTAAGAAGTATTTCTTTAAGGGTTCGTAAAATTTTAAAATTCTCTCGATGGCAGGTATTAATGATAACCACCTGATAGGTACATATCGCAACAACTCTCACCATTCCAAATCAGACCACTCCACCAATTCTTTTAATTCAGTGACTCTTTTAGTTGATGAACTAAATTCGTTAAAACATTTCATCACAATTACTTCGACATCTACAGATAGTACATTCATTGCCTTCTTGCAAGAATTATGCAGTATATGGCATATACAGAATTGGTATTAATTCATTATTGTGCTGCCTCAATTCGCTAAATACACTTTGATTTTTACCAAAATTAACAGAGGCATTATCAGCGCAGAAAGCTGACATGCAACTCATTGATAACCCTGAATCAGCTATATTTACCATTATGTGGTTAGCTATATCGTTGGATTTTTCACTATCGGATGAAAAAAATTTCAATAGTTTTATAGAAATGCCCTTATTCTTGTTGAAATAGCGAAGGATCAGGGGAAATGTTTTAATATTTCCCTTATTTGATGCATCTGTTAAAATAGCATATGGATGTCCTTCTTTCAATTCGTCTAGAATTGACCTCTTGGATTCAGGTCCTAACACATTTATGATAGCCTTGCTCATTTTTGTCCTACCACAAGTAAAGTTAGCACTATTTTGGAGTCGTTAAATATTTAAAAACATTAAAATGCTAAAAAAAAAATTGTGGGAGAAATTAAAAAATTGTGGGAGCTTTTTGTGGGAGATTTCTAATTGTGGGAGTTTTGTGGGAGTGAGATGTATGTGGGTAAACTAAAAAATTGTGGGAGACTCCCACTGATGGGGGGAGACATGGCAACCCTGCCACCGAATGAAATTTATACGACTCTTGGTCACAGTATATATTTAAAAATTTTCGAAATTTTTTTCCAATTCAACTAATCACACTTATTAACCGAAACGATCCATATAGGGACAAATCTATGAACCTTTTTAAAATATCTCAAAACCTCCTAAAATGCAACTCGAATGTAAAGATCATATGTACATCAACTTACCATAAAGCAATTTGTTTCACGCAGTAAAAATTTTTATATGAATAAATAATTTTTTAAAAGAAAACATTATTAATAACTTATCTATCCATCAGATATTAATTTGAAATTTGCACAGATATTATTTGCAGAAGCCTTGCCGCTCGGGGAATTAAGAATTTGAGATCCATATTAATATTTAATTATTGAAATATTTGTGAGTAAATTACCCCCCCCCCCCCCACCCAATATTTTGATCGTTTAATTAATCCCATTTCGATATTTTTTAATTTAGCAGTATCAATTAGGCGCGGCGTCAATTCAGCGCAGCGACAATTCAGAGAGACTCCAAATCAGCGCGTATACAAAATTTATTAGTATAAAACAAAGGGATCATTAAAAATAAGTCATGCTGAGGGAGTCATGCTGAGGGTTGGATATCAAAAATAAATTAATTTAATAAACAAATATTTATACTCTGATTTCTTTGGTGGATAATTTACCATGTTATAAGATATATTGATCCAAGAGAATTCAAATTATTTTTTAGATGTAAGAAATTAACAAACGGGTTTTATGCTAGAGGTTGAATTTTTCAATCATATCTAGCGATTGTATTAATTTGAAAAATAATTATAGAGTTAAACCTTTAAGACTGACTCATAGATTTATTTAAAGTCTTTAAAATAATTCTATTAATCATAAAAAATAAATATCATTTTTAAATCAGGGTTTCGAACCGAATCGTCAAACAGGAACGAACCGTTATAATTTTCTGAACCGTAACCGAACTTTAATAAAAAGAGCGAACCTAACCGTTATAAATATTCTTGAACCAATTTAAACCGGTTCACAACGGTTTTTTAAAATAATTAATTTAAAATTTTTAATCCAAATTTGATTAATTTTCCTTGGGGGCAATTTAAATTCGTAATTTCTTATAAAATTAGAATTTTTTATACTTAGCTATCAGCTTCATGTCAATAAATACCAAATTTATTTTTTATACTTTATATACTCAATTTAATAGAGATTAGGCAAATTACTAGATAATTAGATAAGAAAATCTTCATGGTTAAATTAAATAAGGAATTATATAAATATAAATCAAAAAATTTTTCTCGAAAATATTATGTGGTTTATGATTAATTTTTTTAAAAAAAATCAAATTTATAAAACAGGAACCGTTATAAATTCAAAACCGAACCTAAATGATATTCTTCAAAAAAAACCGAAATGGAACAAAATCTTCATTAAATTTTAAACTAAAACCCGAAACCAACCGATATACTTAACGGTTCAAAACTCTGATTTAAATAATTTGATTTTTTATAGATCAACATATCTTATAACATGGCTAATTGGTACAACAAAGATCGGTATAAATTTAGTTTGTTCATTTTTTTTTTGATATTATTAATTTAATTTTAATATTACACATTTATTAAATAAAATTGAGATTTTTGTAATATCAAAGTTAAATTTTATTTGTTATTACACATTTAGTAAATAAAATTGAGATTTTTGTAATAAAAATCAATTATTTGTTATTACACATTTAGTAAATAAAATTAAGATTTTTGTAAAAAAAAGATGAAGTTAAATTTTATTTGTTATTACACATTTAATAAATAAAATTGAGATTTTTGTAAAAAAAAATATGAAGAAATAATTAAGACCAACATTCAAAATGATTTCTATTTAATCATCCATTTTTTTATACTAATAAATTCCAACTGTATTCGATACGCGCCGAATTGATGCTGCACCGAATTGACGTGGAACCTTTTTCCAACATGTAAAAGTTTATTTGTAATTTTTTTTTATTATTAAACTTAACAATTCGACAAAAACATGAAAACATCAACATTTAAAATTAATTTGAAGCAAATGTTTTATTAACAATCGTTTGGCTGCAACCTGCAACGTACATCCTATCATTTTGCAGAAATACCGGTGGTGTAATTGTAAACTGCTTTTCATCCGTAAACCATATGAAATGAACTAACCTCTGAGGGTATTTTTGTAGGAGTTGTTTAATACGTACCAGACGGAATATCTAACTCGCATATGTTAGGTCATGAGCTTGTTTCTTTTTTAAACATTTGCTACAGATCTTTATGGATAATCCGATGCATTGAAGATTGTAAAACATCTGTTTCTCGGAATATTTGACGAATTGTTTTGTGGGTACTAGGTCGGTTTTCAGAATCAAAATTTTCTGTAGTACGAGCTGTGCGTGTCTACCACCATACCGTTTTTCTGTTGATCTGGTAGCATCTATTTTTGAAATCAACCTATTTAATTAAGGCTGTAATAGACCAGTTTCTGTTAGGAAATTACTTCAAAATTTTTGGAACCATAATGTATTTGTGGTCTTAAAATTAATTTTTACATGTTGGAAAGTTCTAATTTTATTTGTCCAATTTTGAGCATAACCTTGGATCCTGTCGATACCATTTAATGATATTTGCGGATAACATTGATAATTATTTTTAGAATTCTTAGATTTATTCTAAAATAAAAAAGGGCATCAGTTCAATTGGAATACAGTGTATATTAATCCTACCTCATACCTTTTTACAATCTTTCGAAACCTTAAGTGAAATATCTAAGGTGATAAGAAAGAAATATGTAAGAAATGGATTATTTTTAAAAAAGGTTTTTCTATGTAAAAAATTACGAACGACATTAGGGAAATTTCTCCAATTTATGAAATTAGTATCTTCATCTAATATAAACACTAGTCCTTATTTTTATTGATTAGCTAATTTGCGCTAACGTGGCCCGTTAGCTTGAACTGTTTAGTTCGATAAAACCTAACAGATTCTTATTGACTGCCTCGCACTGCAGAAGTCTTAAGTATCTTTTATATTTTACAGGATGTAGTGGGTTTGGTGTCTAATAAAATTAGTATTTATCCTTATATAATATAAACACTAACCATTATCTTTGTTGAATAACTCTAAGTTAACCGCTAACGTAACGAGGTAGAACTGCATATTTCTGTAAAAACTAACAGATACTTATTGTCTTAAGCATTTCTCATAATCACTTTTATGCTTAGATTAACACTAACCAGGGGTGTATTGCTTGGGGGGGGGGGTCGCTATTTATTATTTTATTTTTAGCCCTCTTTCCAAATTTTGAGGAGGAATTGAGCTCCCCTGCCTAAAAATTTAAATATTTTTTTAAGTGTTAAACAATCCCCTTTCTTTTTATTATCTTATAAAAACCAAATTTTTATAAATCTTTAATAGCACGTTGGTCATAGACCTGCACAAATGTGAGCGTACATGAATTATATGAAGGCCCATCTTTCATATAATTATGCCGATTTTTACTACCAACAAACCTAGTAACCCAGAAGTAAAAGTAAAAAAGGATGGAACTACATCCCAGCTATTTATATATGTTAGTAATGAGTATAGGTAAGGAAGGAAAGAATAAAGAATAGAAAAAGTTCCTTCTTCCAAAAAAAAAAATTAATTTTTTTATTTAGTAAATTTTATTTGCAAGTATTAAAATATATAATTGTTTATTTTTTTAGAATATTGTAATGAAAGAAAGAAAAAAAAACTTATTTTGGAAAAGTAGGTTTTTTATGTAAAAAATAAATAAATAGCATTCTAAATTAGAATTTTTTTTTATTTATTTTATTGTTTATTTTAAATTTCAAATTTAGGAAATAAAAATTTTTGTAAGGTAAAATATAAAAAGAAAGATGGAGGATAAATTCAAAATTTAAAAATAAAATTTTGAAAGTAAAAAAATAAAAATGGAGGATAATTAAGGTAAGAAACAAAATGGAGGAAAAAATATAGTATTAGAGATAAAAGGTTATTAAAAATATGTAATTTATAATTATTTGGAAGAAGGTAAAATAAAGAGAGTAATAAAATTTAAAAAATATTTTTTTTTTTCTTAATTGAGTCCATAATGATAATTAATATTTGTAGAATGACATCAATTAATGTAAGAATTATTAGTTCCAATTTTCCTAAAGAGTAAAGTATAAAAATTTATAATTTAACTTGGGTTAAAATTTTTTTCATTGTATCATATTTCCATTTAATCACATTTGTTTATAATTTTATTTATATCTAATGTATATTTGTTATTTCTGTCCTTATGATCTCCAAGTCTTAAATAAGCTTTTATTGTCTGATTGTTCACTGCTTGAGTTTTTATTGAGATGGTCCATGTGTTTTCTTTCTAACTATGTGATCATTTCAAATTTCTTAAAAAATATCATATGTTTCATGAATCCATTCAATACATTAATCAAAGTCCACATAAAATATTTTCAGGTGATTTGTCAAATCTCACAAAATTATAATTTTGAGCATAAACTTTATTTTTCTTAGGATTCTTTATTAGAATATTCCATTCCAAAATATGTAGAAGTTATCATCATTGATATGAGAGAATGTTTTTCCATTATAACTTTGCATTTTTCCAATAATTTAACGTTAATTGTATACAATGTTTCTAAATCATTATCATTCATAGCATTAACTGATAAAATGTTATTGACCCAATAATATTTCAAACATCAAATTTTCTTTTTAAAAAATTTACAGCCCCATGGAAATTATCCCCTCTGTCTGGTTCACCAGCAAGTAAAATTAAGTTTTGAGTCTACTCTGAAAAGGCTAGTTAGCATTTTTCAGTGAAAAACTGTCATCCTACCCTCTATCGAGGTTTAATCTTAAAGAATACTCAATCTTGAAAAAAAATCAATTCGTGCCTCAGGCTTAGCGAATTTTAAAACCTTTATGGTTGAGCTGATTTAACAACACTCAGTGGCGCCCCCCCCCCATATAACTTACGAAAAAAAAATTTTTTAATTTAAAAAATATTTTTTAGATAGAAAATTTTTTTTTTTAAATTTTATTTTAAATTTTTTTTCTTATTGCGAATAATTAAATAAAATTATATAAGATATGAAAATGAAATATATTTAAAAAAACAAATAAGAATTTTCAATTTTAAATGATAACATGGTTTAAAAATATATATTATAAATTATATGTAAAATATATAATAACAATAAAATATATTGTAAAATAATAAATAACAATAAAAATATATTGTAAATGTTTTCTAGCATAGTTAAATTAGATATTTATAAATTTAATAATAAAATTTATATTGTTAAACTAATTAGATTTTAAAAATTTTAATTAATTTTTTATAATTTTTAAATAAAAGAAAAATCATTTAATTTGGTAAATATAGAGAAAGTAAAGGTGATAAAAAATATGCTTGGGATTAAAAATTTTAAACCTAGAGTAGTTTCTAGATAGTCCAATCGCTTAAATATTGATGCATCTACGATTGAGGATTTTTATAAAATAAATATTTTTATTCCCCTTACTGATACATTTTTATTTCAATTAAAGGAAAGATTTATTAGTCACAATTTTATTCTAAACAGCTTTCATTTTCTTTTGCCGGTTGAGTCTGAATACACTTGTACCACGAGAGGATATTAAGTCTCAGAGTTTAATTCTGATAAATTATTAGGATATAATAAGTTACTATGTGATGTCGAATTTTGGTATAAAAATTTTGACAGAATAGAGTATTTGAGACCTAAAAATGCTTTGCAGGCCCTTTCCATGTGTAATAGCACTTAAGATTCCCTGCCTAATATAAAAACAATGCTTTTTATTTTAGCTACCTTACCGATTAGCACCTGCACTAATGAAAGGTCTTATTCAATTTTGAAAAGGTTAAAACCCTATTTTAGAAATAGCACCGGTGAAAGCCGTTTGATTCGTAAAAATATTTATAAGGAGATTATTCTAAATAAAAATTTGATTCTTGATAAATTAGTTAAATCTCAGAGAAAAATACACCTCTCTTTATGAATTCAAATCATAAAATTGCTATATTATTATAACATAAAATTTTTATATTCTATAAGTAATATAATGAATTCTTAGTCATAATCTTTATATATTATACTATTTTTAATAAAAATATTGTATTTGCAAAAAGAATTAGTGATCTGTATCGGGCCTAATTTTCAAGCCCGGCCTGGGCCGAAATTATTTTAAAAATTTTTTGCCGGCCCGAACCTTTTTTTAAAAAAGTTTTGTCGGCCTGGCCTGAATTTATTTAAATGTAGAAATTCATTTTTATAATTACTCAAAATAAAAGATATATGTTACATGGCGTCTAATTTTTATAAATAAAATCAAATATTTTTATTTTACATAAAATTGATATATTTAGATATATTTTTAAAAAAAATCCAATGCCCGATCCAACCCGACCCGAATTTTTTAAAAAATATTAGGCTCGAACCCGATTTTCCTACTTTTGCAGATCTCTAATAAGAATTATTAATGTTTTATTAGTAAACTCATTTGTTATCATTAAAATAATACATAGTTAAATAAAGGGGTGTTATTTATACTAAAGTATTTTAATAATAAATAAAATCTATAATGAAATTCTCTGCAAAATTTTGTTATATGCAAAAATTTAATTAAAATATAAAAAATGGGAGGTTGGGGGGGGGAGCGATTTTATTCTTCTTTCTACACCGAATGGATTGAATTAATTTACAATTGACTAAACATTGATAAAATTTTCAGAATAATGCTTTCAGTTGCGTAATAATCATAAATTTGGCCAAAATTTTGTTAGTAATATTTTTTTTCATTTATGCTGGCACTATAGTGGTTAGACACTAATAAAGCACAAAATATTGGCAAATTTTTAACCCCCCCCCCCCATGGATCAATTTTGGCTACGCCACTGACAACACTATAGGCAAAAATAATTTGTTTATAACTTTTAACAATATTTTAAATGTTTAAATAGGAATTTGAAATTTTCAACATATGTCGATTGTTAAGATTAATCAATGTTAATAATTTGTAAAATTTAATATTCATAAATATTAATGGACTAGATCTACAAATACGGAAAAGTAATGAAAAGGAAGAAGGGGGGATGAAATCTTTTTAAAAAATTACATCCCAAAGGAAACAGCGAAATGAAAGATCTATGAAAAATTATACAGCCCCCCTGCCAAATTTTTAAGCAATATACCACTACCCTAGCACATATCAGGTCTTGCCATGAATCACATAGCAATATGTTTAGCCAACATCTAAACATTTCCCAAGTGCCCTTTACAAACAGTGCACATGGCTGCGCATTCATTAATTAAATGGATTTTTTTAACTTGTGGAAGAAATTAATAATGTTTTAAAAAATTCACCTATTTCTAAACATTTAAAGAAATTATTAAAATTCGGGTATTTTCGTCGGGTTCTTTTTGTCCACGGGATTTTTGCCAGGGGGCATTTATGTATAATGTCTTTTTATCGCTATTTTTGCCCGGATCTTTATGCCCAGGACACTTCTGACTGATTATTCTAAATATGGTTATTTATTAATAATATATAATTATTTATAAGAATTTTATTCAACAAGACAAGAATATGGGCTTGAGACTTTTTAACAGCTCATATTCCCTTGACATAAAATGCGATAAAGCATAACGGTCGGTAAGAAATATTAATTTGTGATATCGACTAGTGATATCCCGCGAACTCTTTCATATTTTCTAATTTTTTTAAATTTAAATTTTGACGAAAAGTTTTTATATTATTTTGTAAGATCACATCACATTTATCTTTTCGTCGTTTATCATATATTATACTCAAAATCAAAATAATTTTCTAAGTAATTTGCTGGAAAGTAGCATCATATTTTATTACGTATACGTTTAAATATATTATTTAACTCAAACATTTTTATAACTTTATTTTTTTCAAACTTATTTATAGAGTTTATAAATAATATACATCGTTTTTGGACCAAATTTTCCAACCACATTAACATTATGTTTTCTAGTAAGAATATATAATTTTATAAATTTATTTAACTCTTTAAATTATAAAAGGATTATTTACTACGAATCTCATATTTGGAATAATAATTTTTTGCAAAACTCCTGCTATATATAGTAAGAAAATTTTATTTTTATAAAAATTAATATCAATAATTATTTTAAACGAATTATTCATTAATCAATATAAAGAATAACGAAATTTTATGTTGAATATTTTTTTCATATTTGATCGAAATATTCGAAATAATTCGAAATTATTCGCAAGTTTAAGAAATTATTTATAATTATATTAAATGCCAAATTATTAATTATTTCATGTTCCCTACGGAACATTTTGCCTTTTATTTATATAAATCCCTTTTTTTAAATTTTGAAAACCCAATTTTTTATTTTTGAAAATATTTGTAAAGAATTTAATTTTCGAATTAAATCGAATATTCGACGAATCAATTCGAATAATGCTTTTATTATTCATACGAATACGTATATAGAATTATCAATTATAAGATTCGAATATGAATAATGCAAATATTCGATTCGGATTTTATAGTTCCTATAATAATAATATGAAATAAAAATTTAATCTTTATGTTGAACATTATTAACGAATAGCGTATCTTATTTCTAATGATGATGGTAATGTTAATCAAGACCCAGTTGAAGCCGATGTATCCATTAACACTCTCACATCTTTAGGAGCACAAGGGGAAAGAAATTCGCCCACCGACAAAAGTGAGACCTTTATTTTTTAGATTGAATAATTTTGTGACTTATTTTAATAAATTATTTATAGTTATGACCTAAATTTCTCGAATTAAATCAAAAGTTTCTAAAATTCTAATGGTAAATAAGAAACTTATTAAGGATAAATAAATATTTATTCCAAATAGTAAATGTGAGAATTAAATCAATCAATAATAATAATAAAAATACCCAAAACTTTATTAAACATTTTAATAATTACCCTCCCCCGTTAAATAATAAAATAATTCATTTTAAGAATCTCAGGTGAGAGTTCAACCTTCTTTGGAAACTTCTATAGAAATAGGTCAAACCCAAATAGAAACCATAGCTTCAACAAATTCTTTGGAACCTTCTACAGCAAAAGGTCGAACCTTATATTATATCACAACCCAAGCTTCAGCAACTTCTTCTTAGAAATAACTTATTATTTTTTATGAAAAAATGATTACATTTATTACAATAATTTATATTAATAATTTTTTTTTTTAAATAATCGCCCTAAATTTGGATTTTTTTTGCCTGTTGAATACATGAACCAAAATCGTATTTATTTTAGCAGTAGTCCTACAATTTTTTTATTTATACAAAATAATTGTTATAATTCATATTTCTCTATTTATTTTAAAATATTGGAAAATGTTTTTTTTATATTGGAAAATGTTTTTTTTACATTGGAAAATGTTTTTTTTACATTGTATTAATGATAAATAATTTTTAGTAGAAATAAAGATTTAATTATTAGTTGGTATCAGAGTTGTTAAAAGATACTTTTTAAATGGATCTAGATACATATATATCTGCTAAAAAGTTATCTTGATACAGATACAATTTTTTAAATGTATCTAGACACAGATACAATTTTTATTATACTCTTATATAAGCTTTGCATAAACCTAAATTAGGATTTTATTGTGAAAATGCATGTAATGAGCTAAAAAATTTATTGACTCGATATCACATTTAACAAAATATAACTAAAATAATGATTTTTAGATTTTAATATAATTACATATTATATGAAAATATATGATTAAATTGTGTTAAATATATTTTAAATGTTAAAATTATTCGTATGACCTTTAGTACTTTTTCTTTCCTTTTCTTTTTGTAAAATATATTTGTATGACCTTTAAAAACTTATTGTGCTTTTCTTTTTTTATATGTTAAAATAACTTTTCTTAAAGTAACCTTAAAAATGTACATATGTAAATATTGTTAAAATAATAATATATATATAGTTGTAAAACGATATAATATTTTTAGAGAAATAAAGATAAAATAAAATAAACGATATCGCCTTCTTTGAAAATATCAAAATGATTTAAAATAATTAACAAAATTTGTCATTAAGGCATCCTCATTTATCTGTAAAGACATTTTTAGCTATACGAAGTCTTTCTACCAGAACCCTTGAAGGGATTAGGGGGTTATATTTTATGAATAACAATTTTATATCAGGATATTCTCTTAAAATACTAAAATCTCGACATTTATTTTTTTGAGTATCAAACTTTAAATCATTAACAATCATATCACTACTGTGGGGTAATGAAAAAAATCGGATATTAAATTATTTGTTTTTTTTGACAGATTATTTGTTTGCAATCAGTTGAAGACCTTAATAATTCATCAACTAATCTTTGTATTGATTGTTTTTATCATTAACAGTGTTTGATTTTTTCTCATAAAATTTAAAATTACAATAGTAAACATTTATTTAGTATCTATACCCTTAAATGTTTTACAATGTTGCAAGTTGAGGTGATGCTAACTGAAATTTTCGTATTTTTTGGTAGATATGGCAAACATTTTACTATCAGAGATTTGTTTTATTTATTTTGAGATATTATTTTAAAATATGCTCTAATTGGCCATGGAAAAGCAATGTCTGAACTTGTTTATGCTTCTTGATTATATTACTTCTTCCTCTTCATCACTATTAATATTAATCTTAAACATTTAAAATTAGTATAATAAAATAAAATTAACCAATTTCATTAAAAATAAAAATGGCAGATTCCTTGAGTTACATTGTAACATCAAAATTTGTCTGGGTTATTGATAAACTCGGACATAATATTTAATGAATTATATATATTTTTTTATATATATAAGTTTTAATATTTTATATATATAATTTTTTATTATAGTAGTTTTAATATTTTTTAATAAATATGTTAGCGGCAATGTTGAGATAGTGGCAGGGTAATTTTGTTATTTCGGCAAAGTATACATTGCCGAAATAACCAGGCAATGTGCACATTGCCGGTTAGGCGATGTATTCTATTTTACAAATTAATAAATTTATTATTTATTTGAGATTAATTTATATTTTTAAAATGATTTTTATATTTTTATATTTTACGTAATTTTATCTATTATATATCTTTTGATAGATAATTTGACAAATGACATAATCGTTATTTTTGAACTTTTTTGAGTTTTTTTAAAGTAAATAGGTAAAAATCTGTTTTTAAACATGTTAAATTAATATTTCAGTGAAAGTGTAGTATATACAGAAAAGTGACAATTGTCATAATCGTTATTTTTGAACTTTTTTGAGTTTTTTTAAAGTATATAGGTAAAAATATGTTTTGTAAACATGTTAAATTAATATTTTAGTGAAAGTGTACTGTAGAAAAGTGACAATTGTCATAATCATTTTTTTTGAACTTTTTTGAGTTTTTTTAAAGTAAATTGGTAAAAATATGTTTTGTAAACATGTTAAATTAATATTTCAGTGAAAGTGTAGTATAAAAAAGTGACAATTGTCATAATCGTTATTTTTAAACTTTTTTGAGTCTTTTTAAGGTAAATGGGTAAAAATTTGTTAACATGTTAAATAATGTACTCATTAGCGTACGCAGCGGAGGGGGGGGGGTCAGCGAAAGTGTACTATAAAAAAGTGACAATTGTCATAATTGTTATTTTTAAACTTTTTTGAGTTATTTTAAAGTAAATAGGTAAAAATATGTTTTGTAAACATGTTAAATTAATATTTCAATGAAAGTGTGGTATAGAAAAGTGACAATTGTCATAATCGTTATTTTTAAACTTTTTTGAGTCTTTTTAAGGTAAATGGGTAAAAATTTGTTAACATGTTAAATAATGTACTCATTAGCGTACGCAGCGGAGAGGGGGGGTCAGCGATAGTGTACTATAAAAAAGTGACAATTGTCATAATCGTTATTTTTAAACTTTTTTATGTTTTTTTAAAGTAAATGGGTAAAAATTTGTAAACATGTTAAATAATGTACTCATTGGCGTACGCTGCGGGGGGGGGGGGTGGTCAGCTAAAGTGTACTATAAAAAAGTGACAATTGTCATAATCGTTATTTTTAAACTTTTTTGAGTTATTTTAAAGTAAATAGGTAAAAATATGTTTTGTAAACATGTTAAATTAATATTTCAGTGAAAGTGTAGTATAGAAAAGTGACAATTGTCATAATCGTTATTAAACTTTTTTGAGTCTTTTTAAGGTAAATGGGTAAAAATTTGTTAACATGTTAAATAATGTACTCATTAGCGTATGCAGCGGAAAGGGGGGGTCAGCGAAAGTGTACTATAAAAAAGTGACAATTGTCATAATCGTTATTTTTAAACTTTTTTGAGTTATTTTAAAGTAAATAGGTAAAAATATGTTTTGTAAACATGTTAAATTAATATTTCAATGAAAGTGTAGTATAGAGAAGTGACAATTGTCATAATCATTATTTTTAAACTTTTTTGAGTCTTTTTAAAGTAAATGGGTAAAAATATGTTTTGTAAACATGTTAAATCAATATTTCATTGAAAGTGTACTATAGAAAAGTGACAATTGTCATAATCGTTATTTTTGAACTTCTTTAAGTTTTTTTAAAGTAAATAGATAAAAATATGTTTTGTAAACATGTTAAATTAATATTTCAGTGAAAGTGTACTGTAGAAAAGTGACAATTGTCAGAATCGTTATTTTTAAACCTTTTTGAGTTTTTTTAAAGTAAATGGGTAAAAATATGTTTTGTAAACATGTTAAATTAATATTTCAGTGAAAGAGTACTATAGAAAAGTGACAATTATCATAATCGTTATTTTTGACCTTATTTTAATAAATAGATAAAAATATGTTTTGTAAACATGTTAAATTAATTTTTCAGTAAAAGTGTACTGTAGAAAAGTGACAATTGTCATAATCGTTATTTTAAAACATTTTGAGTTTTTTTAAAGTAAATAAGCAAAAATAGGGTTTGTAAACATGTTAAATTAATATTTCAATGAAAGTGTACTGTAAAAAAGTGACAATTGTCATAATCGTTATTTTTAAACTTTTTTGAGTTTTTTTAAAGTATATAGGTAAAAATATGTTTAGTAAACATGTTAAATTAATATTTCAGTGAAAGTGTAGTATAGAAAAGTGACAATTGTCTTTTTCTATTGTGAAGATACAAAATCTTACAAGATCCGGCTTGCTACGAGATTTTCGTTAATAATATAGCGTACAAATATTTTTTTAATAATATTAAGAAGCATATAAATATGATAGGGAAATTCCCACCCATTTAACGAAATATGTCTGATTTGGTAAATATTATTTAAAATAATAAAGAATTTACCCCTATCAAATAACTAAAAGTGCGTATATGATGTCACAAAAATATAAAAAAATGAATAAAATTAATGACCTTATAAAATTTGTGAGAAATAGATTATAAACCTGAAGAAAATTTTAAACACAAATTTTTCAAAGGCCTTCAAAGAGAGAGCCTAGCATTATTCAATAAAATATAGTAAAAAAAATTATCCAAAAGCCTTTATTTCTCGAAAAAAACTTAGATAAACTCATAATGTTTGATGTATAATCTTAGTAATTGTTTAAAATAAATATAAATATCAGGGCTAGAGAACTGCACGGGCTGTCCGACCCGAAAACCCGACCCGACCCGAAAATAAATAATAATATTAATATCTTAAATAGTCAGTATAATTTATAATATTAATTATAAAATCATATTATTTAATATTTATCACATTTTAGGATTAAAATGTCAATCATATTAACATGCCATGTCATTATTAATTATTATTTTATAAACCTAACAACCGGATACCAAACTATTTTATCACTAAATTGTGTGTTTCCCGTGAATTACAAGATAAGACATATTTTATGTACTAAAGATAAGTTTTATTCATTATTTATTATTTATCTAGCCTATACATTGTCTTTTTTAACATTTGTTTTAAAAAATTTCCATATAAAATTTAAGATTGGGATTTGATTCAGGGGAACTTATTTCTATAATTTAAATTTCACTACCATAAATTTTAATCATCCTAGATATTAAAAAATATTATATAAAATTGGTAATGATATTCTAAGTTACATTTATATATAAAATATAATCTTTACTTATTTCGTTTTGGTATTATTATTT